AAATGTTTAGATCTGTTGCACAAACCATATGGAGATCCAATGTACATCTACAGCAAGACAATACACCAGTTTCTGTAATAATTTCCCTCAACTGTTCCCTATTCTGTACATGATTTTAGAGAGGATGGAGTGTTCGTCTCCTCAAAGGAGCAACCTGTGTTTCACAAAGTATGAAAACTTGTTACCTGATAATGAAGAGGATCTGTTAAATATACTTTATGTTAAAAATATCAAAATCCATAAAAGACTAAAAACAGAATGATGAAAAATGTGTCTCCTTTTCAGATATCACTGCTTCAGGCTGACTGTAGATACCTCTAACACTCTTCCTTGAGGTGATCCAAAATTCCAAAAAATACAATGCATTTTCTCCTAAGTAACATGGATTATGATAGAAAATTGGAAATATTTTATTTCCTGTACTGTACTGTTTTAAGCAGGGATTCACATTCCTGGCTTTGGAATGCTTTTTAAGTAAGTGGTATCTTTTGTCTCAGGTACAGGTGACAAATTTACTGCCTGAAATACCAGTTACAAGGCAACCAGGGCAGATGCTGAGCCCTGCAATGTCAAGCCTCAAAGGTTTTAGTGCCCAGATTCAGATGTAATTGCCTATCAAAATAAGTCATCATTGCTGCACTCACTATTGTTAGTTCTCACACTGTTCCTCTCACCCTTTTTTAGTGTCCAATTTTGAGAACATGCTTTATGTGTAGAAGGACACTGAATTCTGGAGAGTTTATCAGTTTTAAATGGTAGCAACCTGAAATCATTTTGTCTTGGAGCATGAGCTGAATAAAACGTATTTTTTGTTTCCTACATAAAAAGAACTGGTTCACAGAACGCCTGTACAGATTTTAATGCTACTCTAGACAAAAAAAATTTCTTTTAAAAATATGCAAAACGTGTACCTCAAAATATTTGTTACTTTCCATCTCTTTGCCAAGAGGTAAGAAGAGAAAACTAAACACATTTCATGCCCATCCCATCCTGTCTCCTCTTACACGAAAATACGCAGCACAAGTTGTATGTGCAGTGAATCTGTGCTCCTGAAATGGGCACCCTGCAACAGAATTCAGGCTGGTGTGCTGTAGAACAGCCAACAGTGAAGCTGACATCAGAACAACAAAACTAGTCTACATTGTCATAGTAAAAATCTATTACTTCTCTTCTGTCAAAGTGTATTTTACATCAGTGGCTCCCACATACCAATTAAACACCTCACTTCACTGAAGGTGAGGGTTATTTGTTGCCTTTGTACACTTGACTGGAAAAGAAGTCATTACATGCATAACAGCCACTATAAAATTGATGATGTTTTAGTAAATATTGCATGGAAATGATAAAAATGAGAATAAAAATATTATTATGTACACATGTAGCTATAGTACAGACAAAAGGAGATTTAAGAGTGGCATAAATTTCTTTTTCTAGTAGTGTCAGTTCATGATCTTACAGAAATGTTGTGCCTTCTGAAAGAAAAATTATTAACAGCTGTTTGCATACAGCAAGATCAAGTAACAAACTTTTGAGAGCAAAAATTCACACTTTCATATCTCATTATTTTCCATGTATTTTTACTTCTATTTTTTTCCCTACTGAAGATCAGAAACACAACAAAATTTAGTGCTTCTACTGAATAAGGAAAAGGAGAAAAATGTGGGTTTGAATAGCATAAAGTAATGCAGAGAAAGGCACATTTTCTGGTGGGAAACTGTGTCTGTTGCTTAAATAAAATATATACAGCTACAAATATAATATGTAATACTCATTCCAAACCATAGTCACCTCTTAAGAAATAAACAGTCGAGTTAAAGCAGGGTAACAGACTGGCAGTGCAACTCCTGGCATTTGTCAGGAGCATTCGTCAGGCTGACAGTAATATTAACCACAATCCATTTCAGTTGCTCTGGTTTATCATTGTGTGACTGATGTTCAAAACAGTGCCATAAGAAGCTGCTTAAATAAAGTGTTGGTTTAACCCGTACACTGAAGCCCTTTAAATCTATACTAACTGCGGACTTCTAGCTAATATATTAACAAAACATCAAACAAAACATCATGTTTGATGCTTTTGATGCTTTGTAATACGTGACCTTAACTTGCAATTTCTAAATAAATTTTAAAGAAGTTAATTTTTAATTTTCTTAGGTACCAAAAAAAAGTGAAAATATTGGCCTGACATCCTTTCTGCCAGAACCAAAATCAAAGTTCTCCTTTTCTTCACTCAGTAGGAGCAGTACATTGTGGTAAGTTTCTGGATGTGCATTAAAAAAAAACCAAAAAACTAAACAACTGTTAAAACTGTGTAAAAGTTTAAGTGAAGTATCTTTAAATATTTTGAAAACCTTTAGCAGTGCAGACATACTACAATACATAGTTATGACTTATTTGGAAGCATTACCCCCAAGATAACAGCTCTACAATGAAAATATCACAATATACCATGGCATCCACAAATTTTCCTAGTTGAATATTAGCAAGGTCTTTCAGATACTTGTCACAAAATTCATCACCTGACACTAAGTTTAATATTTAAACTATACAGAGTTGACACTGCCAGAAATACCAAAATAGTGACCAAAACTTGAACTGCTGTATCTGAGGCAGGTATGGCATAAAGACTTTCATTGTGTGTATGGGAAGGACTGACATTCATCCACAACAGCACCAAGAGACACTGTCTGACCAACAACATTTAACAGAACATATGGGAAAATTCATGTTAAATATACATATATGTATAAATATTCACTAATCCCTAGTGAATAGGGCTTGTCCCAGGGACAATTCTCTGACAATCCCCTATTAAAGATTACAAAATGCCAAAAATATCATGCTATAGGCCTAAATAACATTAATGGAACTCCTTCTACTCAAAATATAGGATGACTGACATCTAATACTGCAGAAATTATTTGCTGCATTAAATTCACAGTTTTCCATTAAATGATTGAGAAGGTTAAACATAGATATAGATACAACCTAAGTAAGGTCCATTGGCAACATCCCTAAGTAATGACCTCTCTCAGCAACAGCAAAGGAAAGATTCCCTCAGAACTGAAAGTATACTTCGCAATTCTCCTCAAAGATTACTTTCACTAACAGAGAAATCCCTATAACCAGTCACTGTTAATTTAAGAAAAAAGCAACACATAGAAATACAGCGGGTTTGCTACCCGATTTCTTGATGCAGACAACTTACCCAACTTAAAACACTTCTAACTCCGAATATTATTATATAAATGAGGAAAAATGCTCTACATTGCACTTAGTTCTATTTCACGGTGGAGAAAGAAAGACTAGGACTACAGTGCTGACTGAATCAACTCTGTAAAAATGAAAATACAATTAAAAGGAGACACCTCAGAACTACAGCAGCCAGAGAATCCATTTTTCATTTTGTTTTGAATTATTTTAGCAAAGACATGATATAAGCAGAAGTGTCATTTAACAAAAGCTAATGGAAAATACCATTGCAAAAATCATGTCATGACTAAGGAACTTTTTAATCTTTAGTATATGTAATTTATGTACTAATTCAAGCTACACAGAGCTGATGTTACTTTTAAGTTTTCAATTTTCACTTAAGTACACAAGTACAAGTGTACTCAAGGTTGGTGATAGGTATTTTTAATTGTAAATTACCTTCAGATATTTATTGGCCTGGGGATTATCAATAAAGCACTTATTAAATTCCACAAGAAAAAAATTACTTTAAAATACTGTTTACCTTCGAAAGATTTGTTACAATATAAAATATATGCAGGTTTACCCACAAATATGGATCTGTGTCAGTCAGACTGTCTGAGAAAGCATAGAGCTAATGATTTATTCAAATTAAATAACACGATTAAAAATGTTACAATGACAGTACCTCACAATCCCTGCTTCAGACTTAAAAACATTCCTCTAGATAGTTATACACATACTAAAGGAACAGTGTAGTCTTCAAATATACATTGATACTAAAAAAACCTGGAGATTTTCACAGATCTGTATTTACCTTCATCAACTGCAAACCAAAAGCAAAAACTTTTAAAGCTGTCATATTTCTGTGGGGATTTTTTTCTACCGAATTACCAATTTGTACGAAAGGCTTTCGTAATAAACAAGCTATAATTAAAATATATTCCTAAACTTTTCTACTTATCAGCTATACTGCTGCATGTGCCAAGCACTGCACGTAAACTTTTTAAAAAAGATCCAGTTTGATGATTAGTGCACTCAATTTTCTAAGAGAAAATGAGATGCTTCTACTTTGTAAAATGAAATACTCTGTTCTTGGAGACCATTGAAAGAGAATAATCACATTCTATAAACAGGCTGGGTAACATCATTTCTGCAAATGTGTGTGTGTGTGTGGGGGGGGGGGTGTTGAAAAAAATCAAAACCACAAGGCTACTCTGCCAGAAACAAGTTGTTTGGAAAAGTTGTTAAAAACTGACAATGTCTGTCGGACAAAGGACAGTAGCACTGCTTGAGCGTACCTGAAGGGGCACGCAGAGGAAGTGAAAAAATAAGGTTTTTACTTATTGGAGTAGAGGATTTAGAAGTATTTAAAATATAGTGGGTTTGCTACTAAAAAAAGCACCATTCTCAGCAGAGAAAACAGAAAAAAAGCTCATTTTTGCCTTCAGCAGCATCAGCATTCCTAAGTTCATTAAAATTTGAAATGAAATGTAACACATATGTTCTAACTAGGAGCACCTTCCAACAACAATTATTAAAGCTGATACAATCAGAAGCAATATTAATACATCAATAATTAATTTTACATGATCTGATCCCCTTTATCAGTATATGCATGCAGAAATTAAACACTGTAATGGTTGGTGGAGGTTGGATCTGCTGACCCACTGTAGTCCCTTTCAAATGTGACCAAGTCTGTGATTCTTTGTTGTGCATTTAACATTAATGTATTAAATACAGGAGAAAACATTGACAAGACTGCAAGTTACTGTGATAAATATATAAATAAAATATCTGATGGCAAATACCTTTGACAAATCCCTGAAGTTGCTAGGAAGAGTAAGGTCCAACTCATCTGATTCGTAGTTGGTGATAACCCAAGGGAAGACGGGGTACTGATTTAAATCATTGTAAGTCCGGCCTGACAAATAAGAAACAAACACCCACCGTGAATAAGGAATTACATTTATCTAAAATGCCAATCTCTAAAGATGCTACAATATAATTTTATGAGCTCTTCAAAAGAACTACAATTCATTTCAGCCCTTTTATCATTTCAATATTCTACTTTGTTTTATTGAAAGGATAATGAAAGAGTTCACAAATTGCTAGTATTTAATTTAAAACACTGCAGCCCATTTCACTTTAACTGTAAATTCTTTTGCATACAGTAATTTTGGCAGTTAAATCCATTCATTTCCTATGCATTTCTCCTTTCCTTGTTTCTGTCATCTTGTCTTCTGTTCCTTTCAGGTGAAACACTTCAAAGAATGGAAGGGCAACAATTTTTGTTGATACAAAAAATTAAAGCAATATTTTTACATATTGTATTAAATACAATATGTTAAAGCACAATGAAGCAGCTAAGATTTTAGATTGAAAAATTATCCAATCAATAATCAGTTCATCTAGAGAACGCACTTTGAGGAAAATTATTCCTGGCTCACTGTCCATCTATGGATACATCAACACTTACCAGAACACAAAATTTGTTCTGGATGCAGGCTCACATGTACACCTTCATGCAGCTAAGATGGAAATAATATCCTTCATCCAGGAATAACAAAATATTCAGCTAGGATAAATGTATACCATACATACATATCCACCACATAAGTTGGTTTCTAATTTTAAAACGCATGATTTTTACACAGATCCCGTGTCATTTCATGATATTGTTGCAGAAACTCCTTCATGCATATCATCTTCAATCAGTATGTTCTTAAGACTCTGTACACCCCGGTCTTAAAAATCTCCAAGGACAGGTTTTAACTTCTTCCCCAGGAATATTAATTTACAATCCAATCTATAAAGTTGTCAGAAAACATTTTCTAACCTTCCACCCAAGCTTTTATTCTTCCAGTTTTCTTACACCATTCAGTATTTTTCCAACCTGTTTTGTAGAATTCTTAAAGGTAAAATCAGATCCTTTCTTTCCCCAGCTGGTTGGCTATGTTGCATATTATTTCTTATTCAGAATTAAGGCTACTTACATGATACTGTGATAACTATCTTTATTTCTTTCAATTTTTTAACTCCCTATCGTGGGCAACTCAACTTTCCCTTTTTCTATAACGTTACCTTTTTGTTTCTTTTAACCTCAAACACCAACTAGATAGGAATTCAATTTATTATTTCAATAATATATTAAAGCTGAAAAGGATCATTCATTAGAGCCACAGAAAATAGTGTCATGATTTGCCTCATTCAGCTTTAGCAGTAATGAGGCAAGGAGATCGACCCCTACTTGTAAAAAATCTGCCAGCATCCTGGCATCTCTGACTTAATGACTGATTACAGACACTAGCAAAACTGACCATTTGTATAAAATGTAATTAGTGCAAGCAGAGGCATTTGTTGTGTCAATCGTGTTAGCAAGAGCCAAGTCTGGAAGGGAATTAACAGACCTTTCAACACTGTCAATGCCACAGAAAAGAGCTGAAAATTGAGAAATTTTCCAAGTTGCTCAGAGAATAAAATACACTGGGAAATAAAAGAGAGGTCATGAGACCTAACAATCAGCCTCCATCTACTAAACTGAAGTCAATCTGGTTAGAAGCTAATGGGGTAAGATGGGTAAAATGAATTACAGGTTAGCATTTACAGAATGAGTGATTAAGACAAAAACACATGGTTACAAATCAGGATTTGGGGATGTATGAATGGTGTCCTAGCACAGCAGCACTGGCGATGCAGGTGCTGCACTCTGTTTTGAGACTAACCACACATCTTGTACCAGTAGTACTTACTGGCTCCAGGAACATCCTGCTCCCCTAGCTGAGATTTCCCAGCCCTACAGAGAACTTGTTGCATCTATGATATTTAGGGAGGACAGTATTTTTGAGACTATTTTTGAGACTCTCCTAAATAGCAGACAGTCTATGTAGAGCCTGTCCTTCCACACCTGTCATGATATTCTGACTTCAGACACATATTTTAAGTGCAGTTCAGTACAGCATAATGAATGCCTCTCTAGTCTTGCATGAACACATACATAACTGGAAATAAATAAATTTAGTGAAGATTTTTGTCAAGTTCTTCAGGAGAAAATCCTACATAGAGAAAACTATTAATTAAAAGAGTAAAATCAAGTTGTGCCCCACATCTGCTGAGAGTATGCCACGATTAACTCCTTTTCTGTGTTATTACAGTAATTTTTAAGTACAGTAATTTGCAATACCTGCTATAGTGTTTAGAAACATCAGGTATTCAAAGTTGGAAATTTCTCGGTGTTGCCATCGCTGGGTCATATTGGAAGCTTTGAAAATCTGTCGTGGACTAGCCAAAGAAATTCGCCTGAAAAAAACCCAAGAAAATGGTAAGAAAATAATGAGAAAACCTGGTGGGTCTTCCTTTATCTGGATTTTAGCGGCAGTTGTGCATATTCTTTTCACTAGGTCTGTGCTAGATTTCTCTGGAGATCAAACTGCTACTTGGATACTTGAAGTCCATTTTTAAAGTTTTATAATCTAATAAGAATAGAAGACTTAAAACATCTGACAGCTGGATATGTCAAGATGTGAAAGATTTCAAACAGAAACCTTTACAGCTGTGCAAATCGAGCTGGTCCATGACGGCTTGATGTATTACAGAAATGTATTACTGAAGATTTACAGAGATGGAAGACCATCAAATAAGAAAATTACAATACTTTTAGAATTTCACATAAGAACAAATTAATCTTTTCGGATAGGTTTTTAAATCCCTCAAGAACAAAGGAAAACAAAACTAAGATGATAGAACTTCATTATGAAGTCCATCCTCTGGAGATCTAAATTCTAGGCAGTGTTGGAGAGTTAGTCATAAATAACTCAAGACTTTTAGAACTTGATGCCAGATTTCCGAATGTTTGTGAAAGAAGACTGTAGAGTCATTCCACAGAATGATAAATCAAACAGAGAAGAGCTTATCATAAAATTCCCAAGACTGTTTAGTTCATAACAAAAACATCTGTAAATACCAAAACCACATAATTTAGGGGGGAAAAATCTATATATAATTTTAGTTAACAAATCTTTAAAGGCACTGGCAAACAATTCAAGGAAATAGTTACCACAACTAATTTTTTTTTTAACAAACTGCATTATGTTGTAAACAAATTTATCAGTATAAATGGATGGGAAATTCTGAGCAAATGTGTCTATAGTTTAAAGTACATTTAAAAATTTTCACACATGATCTGTGTCTGTAAACAGAAATCCTGAAGTTCTTACAGAATGGCTATACTTGAAAATCAAGAAATTCTTTTTCTAGACTAGATTTAAAAAAAGCTACAAAACACAACAGAAAACATCCCAAACTATTTTAATCCAATTTCTATGTACAGAAATCTATTTAAAATAAAAGTTAAATAAAATAAAAATATAAAGAAACCACAATCAAGATACTCCATAAGGGTTGCTACTGATTCTAAAAATGTGGAGATTATTCTACTTGTAACAGCTTATAATTCATTAGAATACAAGAGGTAGCCAATCCAACTAGAGATGAGGTATACCTCAAAAACTTCTATTCCCATTACCCTCAGTGAACATTAAACTGTGCTGCTGTGTTTCACCCAGAGCATGGCTGGTAATCAAGCTCTCACCTTCTGCTAAAAAAGGTGAAGCCAGCTGAATCATATCCTTGGAGTTTAGGATCCAAATACAGCCTGATATTGGAATACTAATTTCTCACTGTGTCAAATTTGAACAGAGTCCTCCAGAGCTAAAATACAAGCACAGCATACCAGTCCGTTGCATGCAGTTCAACTTATGTTGTTCTACACATCACTACAATAGCCTTCTGATGACGAACAATCATTTTCATCTTTGTTTAAACACTACAGAGAGTTCAGGGATGTTACAGTCAAGCTAATATATTTGAACACTGCCATAAAAACTAATCAGTCCCACAACCAGTCCGAAATTTTAGTGAGTTGGCAAGCATGGCAAAACCTCTTTTCCTTCAAAAGGGTAAATGATTGAGTATCACTGCTTAAAAAAAAAAAAAAATCACAAAAAAAAATTTCAAATCCTAAAGTGTTTATTACACAAACACACTGCAAATAGCATGCAGAAGTGATAGGCTGAGGATGTGCATGTTCTGTAAACCAGTAGGTGGTAGAAGCTTCAAGCCATGTGTGCTGGTGTGATGAAAAAAGACCTCTTAGAAGTGACAGACAAAATTAACACAGACTGTACAATACCTGGTCTGGGGCAGTCCAAAGATAGTACCAATACCGACCCGAGGTAGACAGTTAACCACTTTCTTTACTGTTGCTTGGTCAGGGAAGTTGAACATGACACCCACTGTGAACACAAGAGTTGAAGTACAGCGTGATTTTACACCTTTTATTTTAGGCTTTCTCGCACAATAAAATTTAGCCCTAAGCTTTGGTTTTAAACAGGTAAAAGATTAGACATGTTTTCTCCAAGTTACTATAGATAATTTCTTTTTTAATAAGTTTCAGAACTGCTTTTATTTACCCCTAACAGGAATTTCAAAAGAAGTTGTCACTGTTACAAATCTTACAAGGTTTACATTTGTTTTCCCTTCTGAATAGAAGTTAAATCTATATGCACAGATTGTGTCTGTCTAGAACTGATAAAGTTTATATTCACAAATTTACTAATTTACTTTCTAGGTATTTTCTAGACACAGTCTTTAAAATACTATCTTACTATTTTGTTTGAAAGATTTGAATGACACTAGTGAAGCAGCAACCTAAAAAGCGTAAATAACAATCTAATTATGGTATCACAAATGGACATTCATGACTTCACAGATTACAACTACAGGCTACAAAATAGGAAAATGCTTATGCATATGACTAATATCCTGTTGGACAATATGCACAACAGCGCTCTACAAGATACATGCCTGATATTTACCAGCCATGTTCAAGATTAGACACCATTTTAAGCTATGATAAAACCTTTTTTACTCCAATACTGACTGCATATAACATGTTATCCTGTGAAACATTTACCACTTCAGGACAGTGTTCCATACCATTACCAAAATCATGTCCTACATTTCAAAAGTATTATCTTAAGACCTACTTTCTTTGATGTCTTTGTATACAGTTTTCAAAGTTTCATACCAGCATAAAACCAGTGAAAGTACCTGAAGAATTTTAGTCTAAACTGCAAAGACATGATATAACCTGGTTTAAAATAAAATACAGGGGGACAAAATGGCAGAAGAAAGTTCTCCAAGTATCAATGCACTATGTTTTGAGTGACTTGTCACAGTAAATTGTGTGTCTGGAAAAGGAACTGAAGAAAGGGAGGGTGAAAAAAAATTTCATGAACAAGGCAAATTCACATTTACTTCTTGGAGTTGCAATAGGGTCTAACTGAGAGACATTATTACTAGAAAGAAAGCATGAAGGCATATCAGTCATTGGTCTAACCCAGTAGTGAACTTCTTTCATTGTGTTGTTTTGGCGTGTACAACTAATAACTATTACCCTCCAAAGGGACACAAAAAATTCTTCATGCATAACAGATCAGAGGTGGGAATGCCTTAAACGGGAGTTTTCACAGAATGCCAAATAAACATGTGGATATAAATGAAAGTGAGGCACTGCTAGGCACAGTTTTCACATTTGATCATAATTCCTCACTGAAAACAAAAAGCGAAAGGAAAAACTAAATTACCAAAATATAATAACTTTAAATACTGAGAAATTTAATCCAAGCCCTCCTTCTGTCTACACAAATCCATACCAAAACAGAGGTGACTAAACATCCAAACAGAATACACACGGCCCCAAATCCACCCTTGTCATTCCTCTAAACTCACTGTACCTCTATTTGCCATGAATATCTCCAGTGCTGTATTTTGCAAAAGATAACGTCGGGAAAAGATAGATCGAATCTCCGAAAAGAGCCATTTTCCATGGAGTCCTTCTGTATATGCCAGAATCTAGTAGAAAGAGACAGAGAGAATTTTTTAAATATGTTGTCTGTATAGGTAAAACCTTGTAAAAGAGAAACTCTTTGACCCACAAACACGTTTCTTACCAATTACATGCAAAACCTGCAGCAAAATTAAAATACGGTCAAACTTCAAATCATTCTATGAACCTGTGAAGGATTTTTGGTACTCCTAAATTCAACTACTCATGTCAAATATTTTAAAAATTTTCTTGTACTTTTCCCTTTAAAGACAACTGCTTATTTTCCACAATAGTTTCAGAGTTTCAGAAACATTAATAAATGTTTGGCACTACAGCAAAGCATAAAAACATATTCTTAGATGTACTACTAGCAGCATTAGATGTATCTGCACTCACTTTAGCCTTGCAATAACAGGCCTGTAACAAATAAGCAAGAAAAAAATGTCTTTAAAGAAAAAAATGTTCCTTACGTTTATCGTTAAGGCAACATTCATTAATTCTGGAACCAGAAAGGTTGGCTGTATAAGAGGTTAAGTATCATTTTGTCAGCTAAGGTTAAACACAAACCTGCAAATGAACTCAGCATAATCTCTCTATGGAGTAAGCGGTTGTCAAAGTAACTTGTTACAATTCCTGTCATCCCATCTGACAGACACAGATGCTTAGTCTGCCTTCACAATTCAAACTAATCCCATTTTCAGTCCTCAGCCACTTTGTTTCTTTGTTGCTTCACTTTTTCCTTTTCATTTCAAAGCTTAATTATATAAGTGTTAAGGGACAGAGAGACTGGACACTTCTCTACCTCAGATTAACAAACCATAAGCGAATGAAAATCTGAGATTTGTCAATTTTAGCAAACACAAAAGCACTTAATGGAAACCCATCACAGAAAAGGAGGTTCAGAAACAATCCTTGTTAACATGACTCTTACTGCAATTTCACACTTATATTGTGTATAAAAAAGAAAAAGTGAAATTCAAGCCCTTAACATGACAAAGACTGTTAATGAAACCAATCATTTGTTTACAGATTTTTAACAAAGGAGGATTTTGCCTCACATGTAGCATATATTCACAAATAAAACCTGCATTTTTGTAGCATAGAAAGCAGAGGCACCATTATTAAAGCAGCACACAATACAGTATAAAGTACAGTACTATGTTTGTGAATTATTAAAAGCAGACAAGTCTGGCAAAACAAAAGCAAATAGCACAGAAGATCAGAACAGACAAAGCAAATCATCTCCCACACCTTTCTTTTTACTTAATCTCTCATCTTCACCCCAATACAAGCGCCACAGCCAACTTCTCTCTCCCAAGCACATATACAAAGAAAGGGAAGGAGAAAACTGAATAATTATTCCAGTACAAAATTCCAGAAATGTGACAAAAGGACCAGAGATTGTCAATGGTTGCTAAACATTTCTGGAACCAGGGAACAGACTTGGGTCACGCTGACACTTCCCATACCACATCCATAACCCATCCACACTAATTGGCAGGTTTGTATAATTCTGTGGTGCTATTCAGAACCACCGGGGTTGGCTTTTGTCACATGCATATAAATATCCTTTAAGCGCACAACATCAAAAGAGGTAACAAAGGAGACAAAGTTGCAGTGCTTGTGTTCAAAGATCTCTTAGAGCTTTTGCTGGTATTTATCCCTCTTAAAATCTTAAAATTGGAGCTTATAATTTCAACGATTGGGTTTTTTTTTTTTTTGAGGCAGACAGCAATGTGATAACCTCTGCTTTTCCGTAGTAACTATTAAAACACAACAGTTGCTTGTCGCTATCAGTCTGCACAGGGCAAATTCAAACACTTACTACGTGGATACTGGGAGTAATATCAGTAAGTTGTACAATTATCACTTTTACGCCGTGAAGCAAGCATTTTCTGTGAGAGTAGGAACCCTACACATGACCCCAAGCTTGCTGCGTGCAACTCCCTCAAAATTGGAAGGAAAAGCACCGACTCAAAAACAGCAGAGTTGGTTTGCACTGCACACCTTGCATAGGCAGTGAGAAGTTACAGAATTCAGTATAATAGGATTTACAGCAGAGACTGGAGCCGCACTGCAGAAACACTACCAGCCACCGCTATAATAATTCTCCGAACTGCTCATTAACAGAAGTTATCAGGAAAGAGAAGCAGCTGAGGCCGGGCTGAGCAAGGCCTTCATTTCGAGTTGGAGTGGTGTCTGCCTGGTCTGCAGCTTCACTTCAAAGTCTCTGGAGTTCAATTAAAACTGGATTAGGTGGAAGCAGGCCTTCTTTGGGACACTCTGTTCTCTGAAACTCCAGGCACACTGACAGCACCCTAGACAGAGGTCTAGCCCGCCAATGAACCAGTTGCCATGGAAACTGCAGCATTACCCCTGCTCCCTGCTCATCACACCACCTACAGTAGATGAAAGGTCCAGAAGACAAACACATTTCTTTCATGTGCATTACTAAGTATTCCTTATGAAAGTCCAATACAACCTTTTATTCCCTAACAAATATCTGATTTTAGTAGCAGAACATCTTAGTTGCAGAAATGGACTCGCTCTGTAAATTTAATTCAGCATTTTTATTCTGTCAAAGGGTTTTTTTTTTTTAAATTATTGTTATCACAGCCAAAATTAGAATTACAATTGTCAAAAACTATTTTTGCATTTGCTTGTTTTCACCCATAAGTCACACACCTCAGAACTCTTACTTCAGAACTGAAGAACAACTATCTTCTTCATATTATTGTACAATATGTTGAGTTCAAAACCAACTAATTTCTGCCTTTTTTCACCACCAGTTTTGGATCAACTTGTGGAGCAGAGACTAATGAGGGTGTAAAATCTAATTTAACCTGCACAAACAGTACTGCCTTCACATGAAAAAGTATTTATAGAATTTCAGTGGATTCAACCCATCAGATTGAAGTTTAATCTACTGCATATTTCATTTGTTTCAAAAGAGACCACACCTTACAGGAGTAAAGACAATTTATATCGTTTAACATTTCATTTAAAAACACATAAACAAATGACCCAATTGTAAAGTTCTACAGTTCCAAAAATCTCATCAGGCAAACTGTTCCGTGATTACACTTTGGCAACACCAGATGAACAGATGTCATGACAACACTACTAAAGACATGAAATTACTTTCACCTTTACATTAAGTTCCTTCCTTACTTCAAGTATTAGAAATGAAGGCCTAAACCTGTAATCAGTGCTCGTATTCATGCTGCAGGAGCTGACACCACACAGCTGGAAGAAACTCCCCCAGAAACCAATAGGTAAAGAACAGCCAGCCTCAATTTCCACTTGGAGGAAATTTTGAAATCAGAGCTGCACGAAAGCTCACTTAGCACAGTGCTGATCACAAATTAAGATCATACATAAAATAAGTCCTCTCCCCGCGATTTGCAGTTATATTTCAGCTAATTTCCCCACATTAAAATGCTCCCTTAGAAGCTATTCTGTCATTTTACAGTTTGTAAAACCAATGCCCCACCTTTTCTTCAAAACTCTCCTTGAAGGTTGATAATAAACAATGTCTATTGTAAAAAATTTCATGCGACAATTAAAAAATACCATCACTACAGCTGCCTTCTAAATTAGAAAAGTAATATTTTACTGAACACTAAATGAATATTTTGCTTTACCTTTTAAGCAAGCCAATTAGCTATCGTATATTTTATTTTATTTTATTTTAGAGAAAAGTACTATTGATCTTGAAAATGTGAATAGGCTAGAAGTAATTAAGTCTGCAAATGGGTTATAGAACTGAAACAGTAATTGAATAATTATATTGCTTTAATGTGCCAGCCAATTTAACTGCCACAAGTAAAATAAAAACTAAACAATTTATTTAAAAAGCTGGTGCACATTTGTACAATTTCAAACAAAAGGTATGAGGTAAGACAAAGAGAAAAAATCCAAACAATGAAGAACCAAATAAAAAATAAAGCATTTAATTTACATTTTAATTTGATGGTAGTTGAGAGATAAAATTCATAAATACATGCTTCTAGCAGCACTCCCTGTCATTTGGGGGCATTTTTGTTCAGGAAGGCAGAATTACAGCACTCAGAGGTTATAAAACCTGACTCAGTTAACAAGGAACCTGGATTTCCACCATAATCTCACCCTTGCAACTGAGGATCCATGGATTCTACTGTCCAGGCACTATTTAGTTCCTGCCTGCAGAATTCACAGTGAAAGGGTCTTACTCTGCTCTTTGTTCAAATATATCCAAGTACACTGGAACCAATAATCACCTTGAACACCAACATGCTCTTAAATAAATATTTATCATTTATTTTAGACTTCTCAAAGAAACAACAAATCTTTGTTTTAAATCTCAGATATTTACTCAATCAGTCACTGAAATCCACAGGCAAATAGTAGGAATCCAGTCCCTCCTGTGAGCATGCACAGTCTGCTACACAATCCTGTTCAGCATTTTCATGGGTGACAAACTCAATTAAACATATTCATTACTTTAATGTTCCACTAGACAGTTTTACTCAGCATAAAAAATTTAAATAAATAAATAAATACTCTGTGACCTTTGTATCGATCGGAGCAAAATGGCTTATGCCTGGGTGTGGGTGGTGAAGGGATTGGGGAGGGGGGTGGGAAAGGACTCTTATGTTTTCTCTTCCAATTACTGAAGGAGATGATAAAACCACAGCAAATGATGTATCAGCTCATTTTATCTTATCGCTTTGGGGCTAGGTGACAATGAAGTTCATATTTCACTGGTTCCCATTGAAGATTGTGAAAATTACTTGCCCTTATGACCTGAAATTTCACTGGAAGACAGAAATTTCTCTTCTGCAAAGTAATGCAATTTTTCAGATGTCAACCTTTAGCCCAGCTTTAAAAATTAATTTCATTTATATTAACCAATGATATTGATATTTTCACAGAATGCTCTTTGATACATGAACCACCGACTAGCAAATTGATGTGCTCTAGAAGGATAAAATTATTTTATCTGAAGCTGCTGGGGACAGACAGATTTACCGCAAACCCAAATTCC